AGAGTTAAGGAAGGCTTTTCTTTTTTTCTTTTTATTTAACATTTAATTTTATTGTCAAGGTGATATAAGATAATGAATACATTTCTTGTGCAACGTTGTTACCCCCCTTGCTCATTTTTTCTCCCACTTTTCCTCCCCCCTGAATCCCCGCCCCCAACATTGTAAAGTTCATTTCTAACATAGTGTCTTGTGAGTATGAGTGCAATGGGAGATTTATCTTTAGAAAAGAATTGACTTCTGCTCACTCACATTGGAGAATGTCTGGCCTGGCTGCCATTTATATTTCTTGTAGGCCCAGTCAACCAATGCACAGGCGAATGGTGTTGGAATGACTACTCCTGTCTACCTGAAAGCCTCCTGACATGAGGTTGTATAGCAGGGAGACTCCAGTGAGTGGCTGAGATGCTCAGAAAGTTAGGTAGAGCATGTGTCAAAGAGCCCTGCTCCCATACTACCTGAAAATACATTAGATGTGATGGGCAAATTCTGGCATCTCTAACAGAAGTGGCAATGCATCTTCAAAACGGAAGCCAAGCTGCTAAGAGTTCTGGAGGCCAGCCCTTTGTGGGGCAGAGTGGACTTACTAGGGCAGAGTAGCAAAGGAGGAAGCCCTTTTTATTCCCCCACTGTGAGGCTAGTGTATTCTGCTTCCTTACTACAGGAAACTTCTATCTCAGAACACACTGCTCTCAGCAGATCCTGTAGGAAAGTCCCTCAAAGCCCATTCCTTCCCTTTACAGCTTTGACAACACCTTCCCTCACTCCAGCCACACTAACCTCTCTGCTGCTCGCTAACCATGCTCCTGGCAGAGCCTTTGCACTGGCTGTCCTATCTGCTGGAACATTCTTTCCAGATGGTTCCCTGGCTTCCTCTTCTCTCACCTCCTTCAAGCCTTTGTTCCCCTGGGGTTCTTCATGTCCAGCCTATTTTGAATTGTCACTAGCAACTCAACACCACCCTGACATCCCTGCTCTCCCTTAGCCTGGGCTCTATTTTACTTTTTCTCTACCCTATAATTTACTCTGTTCATTGTTTATTGTTTTTCTTCCATCATTAAAAAGAGGAAAAGGTCTTCATTTAATCTGGGCATTCCAAAAATGCCAACACTGTCACACAGTAAATACTTGTTGAGTTAAATTCCAGGGAAGCATCTGGTCTCACCAAGCTCCCAATTCCTTTCTCCCTGATACCACTGCAAGACAGAGACTAGGCACTGAGACTGAGTTTCTTTGATGTCATCTCTGAGATATTGGGAATAATCCTTGAAGGGCAATACTGCTTCTGGGAGGTACCCCGAACTATAAGAATGAGTGGTATGATGGTGCTGAAGTCACTTCATCTCTTAGAGTTTTGGTTTAATCAGTTAAAAAGTAATGATGATGCTTTTCTTATTGTGCCAGGAAGAATATCTGTCACAGATGAATTCCCAGCACCCAGTAGAGATCCAGGCATATAGAAGAAACACAAGAAATTGGCTATGATAATGTTTACAAATGTATATATATATATTTGTGTATATACAAAGCACTTGGCATAAAGTCTGGCAGGTGGTAAAACTACTCTTTCATATAACAAATGTTCTTGAGCAATGTTCATTGAGAGTGGACACTCATGACTGATGAGGTACAATTACCATGGTGGCTGCTGAACTATTCCCATTCAGCTACCTGGGATGGTATGAGAAATGGAGAGACTTGCTGTATAAGTTCAGTTTAGGAGGCAACTCAAAGAACGTGGTATCTTTCATGAGCCACTTCCCCTTACATTGTGTAAAGAAACTGAACAGAATAGACCCATAGATCTTCCATTCCCATTGGCCTCCTTCCTGAAAGAGTTCTGCTCTGCCAGGTCAGCCATGCAGGTAATGACAACAGGTCTCTATGGGCTTCACATACAAACCAAGCAAAATTTAGTCAGCACTATAGGCTCATTTCAGAGTGAGCTAGGAGCTGGGATCTAGGACTTCTGATGTGTATGTACATTCACTGCTCCCCAAACGCTTGAGCTTTAAGAGAGGAGACTAGCAAGGTTGGGAATCAGCATATGTCTGTTTTTCCCACCACAGGTCAAGCTCAATGGGCTGTAACTGTAACCCTAGGTATGTGGGAAACTAATTATGAAATTAAAAAAACAACAACTACCTCTGAGGACCAGGAGTGCTATTAATTAGTGGTGGTAGTAGAGCACACACACACACACACACACACACACACACACACACACACAGTGCATACCTGTTACATGATAGGCATGTCCAAAGCGTTTTACATAACCTTTTACTTCACGAAAAAAACAAAAAAACAAAACAGCAACTCTACTTTGCATCAGGTTATCAGCCAAGGTACAGATGGAGAAAGAAATGTGTCTGTGATCACCTAGCAAGTATTCCCACTCTGGATGTTGTTTATAAAATCCCTTCAGGATTGTTTGGGAAAGACTCTTCAAACATCATGGTATGCATGTACAAACTGTGAAGCCTAAGCAAGGCCTGGTTGTCTCTGATGGCTCCTTCTCTGTAGGAGTTTGGGTATGAGTTGATGTATGCAAAGGCTTTAGACCCATGCCTAGTGCATGGTGAGAACTCTCATTACCGTTGATGTGATACAATTGCTTAGCTAAAGGACTCCAGACAGAGGTCACTCTTTATGGTTGGGGTTTTGAGCATCTTCAGGTTTTGAAACAGTGTTGCTTGTAACTCTGAATTGCTTCCTGAACTTGCCAGGGAACCTGGGAGTGAGGTAGACTGTCTGAAGCTCTTAACTGGCCACTTACAAGTTGTGGGCCTCAGTTATGCTCCCACCAAAAGAGAGATAATCTTGGTCCTGCACTGCAGGCCCGCTGTGGCAGCAGCTGGAGGACAAAAATCCCCGAGGGATCTTGGAGACAAGGTCTTGCCCACAGTAAACACTTGACAATAGGGAATTGCTTTTACAGGCAATTATGCATTATTCTTAGTATCATTATCAGTTGTGATAAGGATACTTAAATTCATGAGATATTTCTTGCTCTTTGCTGATAACTTGTGAGGAAACTTTCAAACCTTAACTAAGGAGTCCATTCAATCCTTTGGCTCCTCTTTTGCCACCACAACCCTTCAGAACCTGCCTCAGCCCAAGAGAGAACATAACTCTGCTGGGATTTCCTAAATGTGCCCCATAATATGCAAACTGAATTTGTCACAAAGAGTGAGGCCTTTGTGCAATTTCCCAGGAGCAAACTAAAGGCCTTCACTCAATCCTTACCAGTGCATTTTCCTGATGTAGAGAAAGAAAAATTGCTTAATGAGAAAAGTAGAGGGACATATGGGAAGAAAAGTAAGAGAGAAAGAGAAAAAATAATTCATGGTGATTGGCAGTAATGCCTCTGGCTGCTCAGCTTTGCAGCCCCATTAGGCTTGGGAGCATTGACAAATCTACATGGCAAATCAGGTTGGTGTCTATGGTCTCAGATTTTATGGCTACCAAGCATTAGAAATCTTTCAAAAAAGGTGAAGGCCAAGATAGGATGTAGTTCTTATTTACCCCCACCCTACCCCTATGGTGGGGGCGAGTAGCTCCTTAACAGCTGACTGACCTGAGACCTTTGGATCATGTATGCATCGTAGCTGGACCCGTGGTACTTGGTCGTAATATCTGGGCTGTAGCCAGCATCACAAGTGCATGGTATATTCGAGCTCGGGGGCTGTTTCCTAGGTCTATAAACCTGTGGGAGAAAGCTACAATGGTTAGGTGTAGGAGCGGAGGGTGCAGGGGGCACAGGGAAGGAATTAGGGGAAAGCAAAGAAAGAGGTTCATCTTCACTTTCTGTGGCCAAGTGGGTGGAAAACCCAGTGTTGAAGGTGCACAGCTCCAAACAAAGAGGTCAAATGTAAGCGGTCCCCAGTCCCCAGGGGCCAGCGATAGCAAAGCATGGCACTCTATGGAATGACCCCAGTGTTTGGCAGTGACTGAGACCCTCCCTCTGTGCGGAGAGGGTACCCAGGCATGGTTGTGGTCTCTCTCTGTCTTTCAGTAAGATGACCCCATGACAAAAGGACTCTGGTTCAAGGTCAAAGATGCCTTTACTTCTTGGCTTCTTTGCAAAAGGAGGGGGCATAACTCCATATAAATATACTCAGCACAGATCACCTTAGCAGGCACACAGCCAGTCCTGGGTGCTGAAATCAATGTAGATACTCTACAGGGTAACTGTGTTACTCAGAGAGTTTTGGAGCCACACATGGCCCTAGCTAAGATGTGGCAGCCACCGTATGAAGTCACAGACGCTAAGTGTTTTTGTAATGCAGTAATGAGTTCTATTAGCAGGTTGCATTTCAGCTACTTCCAGAAAACCCTCCAAAAAGCAAAGAACTTTCTATATGAGTTAAGATTATACCTCTTTCCACTTCCCTTAAAACAAGTACAATGACCTAATAAGGAGGAAACAACGCCAGATCATGGGGCAAAAAAAAAAAAAAATGCTGATTAAAAATATAGGCTGAGTAAGTGCTGGGAAGTCTCTAAGCCTGACTTTGGTAGTACTAGAGGCAGGGAGATGCTCCTCAGCCGAAAGTTTCCAGTTGAAGAACAAAGTTGGAAGTATAGAAAGAAGCCTAAAGAACTGGATGAGGGAAGTCATTTACACAAGTGAGCAAGATAGAAGATAACAGGTCCAACAGGAAAGAAAGTGTCCAGAATTTAATTGGGAGCTTGGAGGGTTTAACCAGAAGTCAAAGTCCACTGGAAGGTAGAGAGCAGAGAGCTATTTCTGGGGAGATGATGCTAATATAAAAGAAAGGAAAACAGTGCTGGTTGCAAACCCAGGCCCAGCCAACATGCGCATAAACACAGAGAAGCAATAAAATGGTGTTCCAGCAATAACTCGGGCATTTATGCTCCTACCTGTTTGGAGATGCTTCAGCCTGCAGGATAGACATGGGAAAATGAAGAGTGGCTAAACCCAGAGAAAGCACCGAGGCCCCAAACCCAGCAAGACACAGCTTTCGTGCAGAACATCCCACCTGATCTTTCTCCCGCTTGAGTGCCATGACTTCTTCCTGAGTCTTTTTCTTCTTAGAGGCAGACAGTTCCAGCAAAGCAATGTTTGCATCCTTCTCACTGATAGCGGCAAGCAGTGCTTCCTGTCTGGTGAAAACAAAAATCCATTGGGATTTTTAGTGGGAATTTGCCACAAATTATTAGCTCTATGGGAAGAAACTACAAATGTTTAGCATAAACTACCCATTTAACTCTCAGAATAGAGAAAGTAGTTTGAGTCAGAATCACTGAGATCCTCTGAGAGAGGATCTTTCAATGGCTTCATAGATCCAGCTATAAATTATAAGAAGGGTAAATCTGAGCATTCATTTTTAAGACACTTTATTCTATCATGTACCCATCCACCCATTTGCCAATAAATTCTAAGTTTCCAAGGAAACCCAACAAAACTGGCAGCAATTTCAATATCAAGTATTATTACTTTTTTCAAGAGCCATTTTTCCCCTCTGGGCAGGCAGAGTTATTTACAGGTCCATTTTCAATTCAATTAGTAAATGCTAACCTTGTTCTCTTCTCATAAGCTTGGATTTTGGCAGAGCTCCTCATCCTCCAGACTTGTGCTTCTCTCCTCTCTAGAGAGGCTCTCTCTAGTAGCTCTCTCTTAGAATGGTTCCCCATCTACCACCTTATATTCCAGTCAAGGGTCTGTATATCACACTAATTTTTTTCCACAGCACTATCTTTTGACCATCAATTTTCCAGCTTTTCAAAGAGCTCTGGGCACATAGCGGATGCTCAAAAAATGCGGGTTCAACTAATAGTTAAGTTCATATTTTACTTTTTCCAAAAAGTTAAAAACAGCACTAGCCTTCCTCTCACATTTTCTCTCTGGCAGCACTGGGGTTTGAATTCAGGGCCATGCACCTACTAGGCAAGGACTTTATTATCACTTGAGCCACTGCACCAGCCTCTATTTACACTGGCTATCTTCACGTTATGGCTGGGCTGGCCTAGCCTGTTGTTCTCCTACTCATGCTTCCCTGAATTCCTGGATAACAGGCATGTGCCACTGTTCCCAGCATTTTTTTTTCTTCTCCTGGGCTGGCTTCAAATTGAAGCTCCTGATCTCTGCCTCTCAAGTTGCTAGAGTTACAGATTTGAGCCACTGTTCCAGAGATCTTCTTACTTTTAAAAAATGAGAATGCTTTGCTTTCTGCCTTTTTTTTTTTTTATTATCACTGACTATTCAAAGGTTACTTCCTTCCACCTTGAGAATCTAAGCTTGTGGACACATTTGCCACAAATTTTAGCTTAGGATCTTCTGGGGATACTTTTTGAAGTAGACATGCCTTACTTGGGTGTGTTTCTTTACGTTTTCCTCTATTCCAACCAAAGGTAGCAAGTCACTGGGGAAGCATTCTAGGTACTTCAGACGACCTGAGAGTTCCAGCCTCTCTACTGGTTACTTTCTGTGAATACAAGTTTCCTGCCCCAAAGCCTGCTCATGATCTTGTGTTGCTTTTTCTTTAATCCTCATCACCAGACCAGGTTCCCTCCAGATGTTTGGACAAGGTGGTCATTATTTGAATCTCAAATACTCCCCCTTTCCACTGCAGGGATTTATATGGACTTTTCTGGGCCCCACTAATGCCTGGCAGTAAGAGCTTCTGTCTGAGGCGCAGGCAGATGTGTGAGCAGCACAATGTGTCAGGAAATATCTCCACTTTCCAAAAGAAAAACAGGGCAGTCTGGACTACCACCAGCAGCATTAATATCCAGCTTCACAGGACTGTCTCCTTCTGGATAACATCTTGAGATGGCAGACTGCTGGCTGTTCCTATGTAGTATGTACTTGTAGAGGAGGCCATACAGAAGATGCTGTACAGACTTCAAATCAGGGCAAGCCCATTTGTGACCTGCTGAACACTTACTAGAACACACAAGGCTACTGCGGTATTTTACTCTCTTTTCTCCAAGCTGAAATGTCTAAATGATGCTTTATTTCATGGAAAACCCTTAAAAGAGTAATCAGAGGAAAACTGGGAATTCGTGTCACATCTCTACACTTGGCCCTCTATAACTGTGTGTAGCCATTTTAAATGCCTATAAAGAAATCTTAATGGCATAAGAAAACATTTATGTTTGCTAAGAAAATACATTTTTATAATCAAAGACATTATTTCCTTCCCTGAGATCCTTCTAGGGTAGTGTATAGTGACCAATGTTGAAAAAACAGGCAGCATCTCCCCTCAGATCAAAGGGCAGAGCTGTTCAGTGCCCTATGTAGTATAGTCTTCTCCATTTCCCTAAGGTCAGGTTGCTCTCTTGTAATGCTCTCAACTGCATAATCATGTTCTTCTGGTCTCCACAAGATTTGCAGGAAGAGGAATTGATATATATTCAAACACATCAATTCTGTGCTTGCTATAAACTATAAAAATGGAAGTCTCCTGGAACTTTCCTGAACCTATAACTAAGGTGAGTTAACTTATTACATGTCAATGGGAAAAGTCTCAAACCCTTCATAGTGCTTAGCATGCAAGTATACATTCAATAAAGAAAACATTCTTCATTGGGGAAAACTGGAAAGAAGTACAGTAAAATGATAAATGTCATCCTATCTCTGTGGTGGAAGGAATGGGATCAGCTTTATTCTTTTTCTACTCGCATTTTTCTTTTATTTCTTCTCACAAAAACATAGTAAGCATAAACAATTAAACATTATAAGCAAAGCTTTTTAGTCATCAAGTAAACGGTAGGTTCATGCTTCAAAAGCTTAGCAGATGTGGAATGTGCTCACCCAGGTTACTTATGTTCTGTGTACTTTTCTCATTCTTTATACTTAGGTGCACACACATTTTCACATGTATATAATGTCTGATAAAATCTATATCAACTGCCATTTGATAAACTTCATGAATCTCTTAACAAGACTTCTTGTGTCTACTTTTGGCCCTTTTAGCCCATTTTTCTCTTCGAGATAAAAATTTGGTGTCCCATAGCTTTACTATTAATCATTATCATCAACCCAAAGAATGATCATTACCAGCTCCATTTTCCCTATCAGACTATAATTTGGGCTTCTATGAATTTAAGACTTAAGTTTTCCTTCTATGATATAATAGGAGATCCAAATTTATTATTATCATTATTCTTTGAAGTGCTGGAGATCAAAACTAGGGCCTTGTGCATACTAAGCAAGTGTTCTATCACTGAGCTTTATCTCCAGGAACAATCAACTTATTTTTACTTTTTATTTCACTATTTGAGGAAAAAAGGATCAATTTCCAACTCTTCATAAATATTATTGACAAATAAGCTCCAAATCAAATTATTTTCAATTATTATATCTCAAAACACACATAAAGTTCTATTTATAAAAGTATACTTAAGGCCAGGTCCTAGTGGCTCATGCTTGTAATTCTAGCCACTCAGGAGGCTGAAATCAAAGCCACCCACGGCAGGAAAGTCAGTGAGACTCTTATTTTCAATTAACTACCAGAAAACTGGAAGTGGAGCTTGGCTCAGAGTGGTAGAGTATGCTGGCCTTGAGCAAAAGAGTTCAGGGATAACACCCAAGTCCTGAGTTTAAGCACCATGTCTGACAAAAAAGAAAAAAAATAGCCACTTACTAACATTAATATTAACACAATAATCTATTTTGTTTTATATAACTTTTTTATGTTGCACATTTTGCCTTTTATCTCTTAGTTTTGCTTTAGGATAACAAATCTGTTTTATATACAACATTATACAGTTAGAGAACTCTAAATAAAATTAGATCACATCTTGAAACCTTCATTTAAGCATTGCCCCAAACTAATGATGATTTCATTAAAAATATCTTGACTAGGATCAACATTTAATAATTGTAATCTATTTAAAATCAAAGAAAACAATGGTATAAACTAAAAGAATATGAGTATTTTGCATTTTAGGATATTTGGAAAGGTATGTGAAGGTTAGTCCATATCTGGCTGTATATATTTTTGTAGAGATGCCAGGCTAGGCCAACCTTTAGTTCTAGGTTGTAATCCTCTCCTTATAAAACGGATACATTTTTGTTAATTATTTAAAGACTATGAGATAAATTTTGTATACTTATGGGTTTTCACCATTTTTGCCTTCAGATTCAGGGTGGGTTTTTTTTTTGAGAGTGAGCATAAACATAAGTTTTTTCAGAGTAACTTTATCTTGCCAGCTTATATTATACTTTAATAGTTCTTGGGAGTCAATTTACTGAGATATCAACATAGAGCACTTAATGAAAAATACATCACTAGAAATACACAATGGCCTGTTTTGAGAAATTGGTCAGCACTAAAATAGATGAGGAGGCTTAAAATAAGAATTTCAGTTCCAGCCGGGCGCTGGTGGCTCACGCCTGTAATCCTAGCTACTCAGGAGGCTGAGATCTGAGGATCACGGTTCAAAGCCAGCCCGGGCAGGAGAGACTGTGAGACTCTATCTCCAATAAACCACCAGAAAACCGGAAGTGGCGGTGTAGCTCAAGTGGTAGAGCGCTCGCCCTGAGCTGAAGAGCTGAGGGACAGCGCCCAGGCCCAGAGTTCAAGCCCCACGACCAACAAAAAAAAAGAAAAAAAAGAAAAAAAAGAATTTCAGTTCCCTAGGGGCTGGGGAAATTTGGTTTAGCCATTCAAAAATTGAGAGAAATGGAACATTTGCAGTTCTGATGCACGTCTCAAAAAAGTTAGTGAATATACTAGCCACAAAATACTTGGGCTTTGAAAACACAAAAAAGTTTTAGGATTTTCCTTATTAAATATATTAGATTTCAGGTGAGATTTATCTTGCTTTAAAAATTGTAACTCCCTCATCAATCTGAGAAAAGTTCCCAGAAGTTTGAAATCACTTTCAGTACTTAATCGGCCCTTTGTGCCACTTAACAGACAGCAGGAGACTTGTATATAAATGCATCCTTGGTCATTTAGTGGGGTTAAGTATATACTGAAGACTTGCAAAATTATCTTTAGAATCCTATCACACTTCAGTATACAATTACTAAGGTGATCTGTCTGAGCCCCAAAATATAGCTTAAAATATGAAAAGGAAGCCCAAATATGCTAGAAAGAAAGATAAGATAACGCAAAGAGAAATAAATCTATAGGAGTCTGCTGTGTGCCAAG